AGTAAAACGTATCATGACGAGAAAATGACCAGTAAAAGTGCAGTTTTGTGTAAAAAAATGCAAAAAACAAATATGAACACTAACTTTGGCAAGCTTTTTTGACTAAGTGTCTACTACAAAAGACTGGACATACCCCATTTTAATTACCCTGGGTTGTCTACCTTTTCAAATGGTATGTCATGGTGGGGTTAATTTTCATTTCTGCAATGGAATAATCTAAATGTGTCTTTGTTGGGCAAAATTAACGTGGTCAAAGCCTATACCTTAGAATGTCTTAGAATTTCCTTAAAATGATACCTATTCCAATACCTACTGCTTTGTGCAAACAATTTCAAAGGATTGTGGCTTGGAACAATAAAAAATCCTCAAATAGAGATAGATGCACTGCAGACACAAAGATCGAGGGGGTCCAAGGTTGCCATGTATGTAAGATCCAATGACCCTTCTCCAAAATGGAGGACTGGTATTGGATAGAATAACAGTTAATGGGTGTGAGCAATTTGGCAAGTCTCCTATGGATGGATCAGGATGAACCAAGAGTCAGGATTAGGGATTCAAAAAACTGCATATTAGGGATGTATTTGAGAATACAGACTCAATTTAAAAAAAAGAAAAGTCAGTTGGAAAATTATATAATTATGGTGGTCCCTGTTTCTACATTTGAAGATCTGATTTTTAACTTGAACATAGCTTCATGGCCAAATAGAGAGAATATAAAAGCTATAGACCTGTTTTTAATGGGGGTGGAATTAAGAGTATTGCTCAATTAAATCACAAATTCAATATTCCAATGAGCCAATATTTTAATGTATATAGAATACAATATAGGTCGTAAAAGATCAGTGCTCAGAGGATAAGGATGAGTTATTCCCCCAAATAGAGGAATTGTTTAGTAAAGTCCCCCAAACTGGTAGTATAAAAAGATGGAACCTTATTTTGGGGCAAATGGTTCCAGAAAGGTTCCCTAAAGCTTTGACTAGATGGTCACAAGATGTAGGTTTTGAGAGTGAGTGGAAAATATGGTCTGAAAATTGGAGTATTATAAAAAGAACCACACATTGCATAAACATTCAGGAACTCCAATTCAAGATAATGTTTATTATTATGTTATTATTAATTATGTTATTATTTATATAGCGCCAACAAATTCCGCAGCGCTTTACAATTTAGATTGCATATAGTCCCACAAATGATCCATAAGTTTAACCCGTTAATGCCCAAGCTGTGCTAGCATTGTGGAGAGAGCACCGGAAACAATTTACATATGTGGTGGGAGTGCAAACTCATTAAACCCACTAGGGAAGATATTTTTGGGATAATTGCTGCACTGACTAAGACTGTAATCAGTCCCCATCCGAAAATAGCTTTACTCCATTGTGGGTTAAAATTTTTACAAGTTTGACAAAGACTGGTGGTGGAATGAGTGCATGGAAAGTGTTACAATACCACCATTTGAAACACCCTAGGGTGTCTACTTTTCAAAAACATATGGTTTGATGGGGGTGAATTACATTGTCCGGCTTCAAAAATGTCCCAAATAGGACATGTGTGCATGATGACCAGCTGTGAAAATTCCAAATTGGAAAACTAGAATGCGCATCCTCCAAATAAGGTATCTTAACCCCCAGAGAACCCGACAAACCTATACATGGGTGGTATCACTGTAATCAGGAGATGTTGCTGAACACATATTGGGGTGTTCTTTGGCAGTAATCTTTAAAGGTCTCTGTACATGTATTCTTAAATTTCTATGTGTGTCCAAACAATCCCCAATTATTATTATTTATTTTTATTTGGCATAGATTGGTGGAAAAATTGTTGCATGAAAAGAGTCAAAATACCCCAAGTTTAATACCGTAGGTTGTCATCTTTTAAAAAAAATATATACATGTGAAGGGTTATTCAGGGATTCCTGACAGATATCAGTTACAATGTAACTTTCATTCATTTTGAAATAAAATGGTTTGGAAATAGCAAAGTGCTACTTATACTTATTGCCCTATAACTTGCAAAAAAAAAGCTAAGAACATGTTAACATTGGGAATTTCTAAACTCAGGACAAAATTTAGAAACTATATAACATGGGTGTTTAGTGGCGGTTGTAGATGTGTAACAGATTTTGGGGGTCAAAGTTAGAAAAAGTTAAATTTTTTATTTTTCTCATCATATTTTATAACTTTCTTTATTGTAAATTATATTATAAGATGAAAATAATGGTATATTTAGAAAGACCATTTAATAGCGAGACAAATGGTATATAATACGTGTGGGTAAAGTAAATGAGTAAGAGGAAAATTACTGCTAAACACAAACACGGCAGAAATGTAAAAACAACCCTGGTCCTTAAGACAATTGAAAAACGGAATGGTCACAAAGTGGTTAAAACTTATTTGACATGCGTTTGTCACATCATGCCACATTCTGCAGAGATGTCTGGCCTTGGCTTCTGGTATCCAGTATTCTTTTTACAATTCTTTTTTAGTTTTTCTAGTTTTTTCTGGTTTTCTATTCCATGTCTGGTTTTCTTTATGCTGGGTTTTTCTGTGTTCATTCCTGTATTCCGTCCTGGGAATTCCCAGTCTCCAGGGTTCCTTTAAATGTTTGTTTTATGTTGCCACACCCGTTCCTTTTCCATGATTCCTTTTGTTTCAGTTGGAGCCTGCAGGCAGTTGATCAAGCCATCTGTCCTTTCTTGCATGTAAGTGCTATATGTGTTTCTTATGGTTCTTTTAGCATACATTAGGCAGAGTAGGACCTGCCAGATATGGGGTACATTGGCGTTGTTGGCAGGCTTATGCAATGTATGATCATATAATGTAACTAAATCCCCATGGTTTTCATATATAGTACTTAGTCATTTCTCCTCTTGTTTTGCCTATCATATCTTGTCTTGTTTTAGTTTGTATTCCCAGTCCATGTACAGTCCTGTCCTGCCCATGTTATGTCAATGGTTACCCTATGTATTGTGTACATGTTTTGGGTTTAGCTTTCTATACATCTCTGGTTCTGGGTTCTCCTAGTTTTGTCTTTGATGTGGAAACAATTAATTAATTGATTATCTTGAGTATCTGCCCCAGGCCAAATTAAGAAGTAATGCGTGCACGCTCCTAAAGTAATTTACACCAGACACAGGTTTCGGGTTCATGAAAAACTTGGGGAATGTTTATTCTGAGGAGACGGCATGTCCCTTATAAAAAAATTACATCATATGCATTGTCAGAGATAACATGGAATAATACATCAATAATTGGTTAGGTGTTAAGTGGTTCATTTAGTGCTCTTCCTACCGGGTGTGTTGTCACTGGTATCTTGGAGGTCTCCCCCAGATTCCAGCGCCATCTTGTTAATGAGGGTGTTAGTCGATGTCAAAGGGAAACTCCCTAGCGGCCATTTTAGGTAAATCACATTGAAAGTTGAATAATGCTGATTGTAGTGATTTATACTGAGTAAATAGGCATTTTATCAACATGGTTTGGGTTAATATTTTTGTCCACAACAGTCCCCCCCTTAATATGACTATTTACGAAAGAGAGAGACAACTACTAACTAACCCTAATGATGTCCTTAATTGGCTGCAGCTCATCTGTCTGAACAGGCCTTGAACGCTTTGTTGTAGATAATTTACTGCAAACCAATTAGTTTGAATGACTATCTGTTCCTGTCCAAATTAAAGATAATAAAGTTGCGTGCACGCAGAAGTAAATTCACACTGAGACACAAAGTTCAGGTTAATGAAAGAACTCCGGAGAAGTTTAATGGCTTCTGACAGAAAATGGGTGCGCAGACCCTTTTAAAGGCATTATTACATCATTGAAGAAAATCAAGATAACAGCAAATAGACACTATTGATTGGTCCAGGTGTTAAGTGGTTAGTTAGATACCCTCCTATCAAGAGGTGATGTCATCCTTGACACGGGAGTGGACACAAGATGTAGGCGCCATCTTGTTAGCACGAGGTGTTCATTCGATGGGAGGGGTGCTTTGGCAGCCATCCATTTAGAGTGTAGCTGGCATGGTTAGTTTCTCAAGGTTAAGTTTCAAGGCTTTTAGTAAATACACATTTTATCAAAGCTATTTCTTGCTGACATGCAAATTCTATGTTCTATAGACAGGGCTTTCTTGTAAAACTATGGGGGCCTCTTAGAGGTATAGCAAGAGGATTTAAAGGGGCCTTACAGATTTATAGAGGCCTAATAATTCTACAACAGTCCCCCCTAAAATGTTATTTGCTAAAAGACAAAACTTTATTTGTTAGTATCAGAAGATGTGTTAGCCCAAAGACACAGAAACCCCATGACCGCTGACTTAGTGTTAATGCAAAGTGCAAGTCTATCCCTCTCTTGACCCTAACAGGCTGCAGCACATCCGTCAGTACGGTTCAGGAACACTCTTCACTCCGCTGGTAACCCATAGTGGCTTATCCACTACTTCTCCGTACGGCAGTCTACCCATAAAGACGGACGCTGTCCCTGTACTGTCCCTTCCTAGACTTTCTGCACTTCATCAGTATAAGGGAGAGTTTGTAGCGGAATACAGGGTGAGATGAGGTCTTGATCATCGATTGTCAGATGAGTGAAGGTTGGTGTTGCTTGGTCTACAGTTTTCTGCAGGAATTTCCTTAGGCATGGGAGGCCACAACAAATGAGAAGAGCGAGAATAAAAAGAAAAATTAGTAAGGCAATACCAATCTGGACTAAAGCTCTCTGCCAACCAGTCATCCAACCAAACCATTTTTCCCAGGGATCAGTAACTCCAGAGTTTCTCTTTAACTCTTCTGAGAGTCTATTTAATTTAGCTATGGCCAGAGTGACTTTACCATTAGGACCTGTGTTTTCTGGAATGTAAGTGCAACAAGTCATAGTGTCGGGAAGTATTTTACAGACCCCCCTTTTTCGGCTAAGATCATGTCTAAGGCCAGTCTGTTCTGGAAGGTCATTTGGGATGTGGCCTGTAATTGCTCGGCCAAGCCCTGGAGGGCATCCCTGGTGTAGTTCACGAAGCGCTGTTGGTTGTAATAGATATAATTAATCCAATTAAGGTTTTTGTTGGCAGTGACTATGGTAAAAAGTGATTCAAAACCTGCAGCTACTTAATCTCTAGCTTTAAATTCATTAGGTACCCCCCTAGGCACCCCAATGGCATCTATGTAAATGTGGGGGTCAAAACTGCCTTTTACTGGGGTTTCGCGCCTTACTCTGGCTGATGTATGTGGAGGGTCGTATGTGTCATGATGATTATCAGAAATAATATGAATGGGCATGATAACTTTGGCCAGGGTACACTCACCCCACCACTCAGTTTCCAGCCTAGATCTTAACTGTAGATCCCCACATAACCAGTAAATATCCCCCAATGACCTGGTATGGTGTTGCAACAGGCGTATAGGAACAGTTCTGTAAGTGGCGCAATAACCTTTAGAAAAGTTACCCATGAATTTACCAATCCCGTCATACACGGCATAACAAGTGTAATTACCTCTATAGACTGTGATTCCATCTGGTGGCTTAACATTTTCAACTAAGAGAGGGTATTCTGCCGTCCATGCCATGCAGAGGGACCTATTAAAGTCATATTGGTAGGCAAAAAGGCTTAAGAAGCAATCTTCTATCTCTAAAGGGAGAGTTAGGGGGACGGTGCCAAGGTGGGGTCGGGCACCGCCACATACATAACATGCTGTTTTATTATGTTTGTTGGCATTATACCTCATCCATTCTAACCACAAATTAATGTCATTGAATCCAGTTTCAGCGGCCATGGTATCTTCAAAAGTGGGGTTAGCGATGGTCATCATATCTTTAAAGGACTGGATATGTGGTTTTAGCGGATTTGGGACCATATGATCAGCCCCTTGCCACTCTGGAGAGTGGTACATATCTCTGAGGTAGAAATGACCTAATTTGTTGTAGGAACCTTTCTTCCAATACATTCCCATTACATATCGGTCTGCATCCTCGGGGCCAGGATGTTCAATATTTAACATTAATTTCATAGGGGTACTTCCTCCAGGCTTTCTTAAAGTCATTCTTTGAAGGAGGGATCTACCCTGATTGTCTATCTTAGATAAAGCACTTTTGGGTTTATAACCCCAGGCAGGCCCAGTATTCCATCCCGCAGCCCCCCAGTAGTTACAGTCATAACCCCATTGTTCATCTACTACACAAACGTAAGGGTCTTTTGCTTGTGGTATATCTTTATAAATGGCTTGAATCTGTGACTTAGGGAATGGGCACTCTACAATATCACAGTAATCAAAAGTGAATGTAGCCACATGGGTACATGATGAATTATACCAGAAAGTGTACCCACTAGCATCTTTGGTGATGGCCACCTGCTGGGCTTTAAGGAGGCCAACTAAGGAGATAATGTACCAGAGGCACATGGTTGCATAGAGTTAGCTTCCTCTGGGGCAGGTGTCTTCTTGCAATGGGAAGCGTGGATCCAGTTAGGCCTTCCGGCCAATTTGACAGAGGTAGGGGAGATCAGGAGAACTTGGAACGGTCCGTCAAATCTTGGTTCCAGGGTGTGTTTTCGCACAAATTTCTTGACCAGAACCCAGTCACCGGGGAGCAGACTGTGGTTGCCTGTGTCAGAATCAGGATCTGGAATTTTAGAGAAAACTTGGACATGGATTTTGTTCAAAGCATTTGCGAGTTCAGTTACATAATCTACTAAAACATCAGTTTGAAGTTGTAGTTGTTGGGGAAAATAGCAACCTAGCCTAGGTGCAGTCCCAAATAGAATCTCGTATGGGGACAATGAGGTAGTATTTTTGTACAAGAGCATTCATTAGATCTTTTGATAAATGTGCAGGTCTGTGTGCCCATTGTACGACTGCTGGGTACAAATTCTTAGGGAGGCAGAAATTGAGGTTGTTGGAGTACACTCCATCCTTCAGAACTGCCCCTTTCTGTTTCCACTTCTGTATTTCTTCAGGGGCAACTGTAGCCTGTTGTTCCAGCAGGATTTTCAGGTCAGTTGGAAGAGTCTGCAGAGTAAATATGGGAGTTTCTTCATTTCTGGACACTCTTCTTTCCACTTCCTGTGGTTCTTTTGCAGCTTGTTTTGCAGCCTGATCAGCTAGATGGTTGCCCTTTGCTTCATCTGAGTCCAACTTCCCATGTGCTTTTATCTTCAAAATAGCCACTTCTTCTGGGAGTAGGAGGGCGTCCATCAGCTCCTTGATTGCGGAACCGTGCTTGATTGGTGTACCGGCGGTGGTAAGAAATCCTCTTGTTTTCCAAATTAATCCGAAGTCGTGAGCCACGCCCAGTGCATATCTTGAATCCGTGTAGATATTGGCGCGCTTTCCTTCAGAGATCTTGCATGCTGAAGTCAGGGCTTGCAATTCAGCTTCTTGTGCAGACATAGTTGATGGTAAAGATGATGATTTGACAATTTCATCTGTTGTGGTTACGGCATATCCTGTATGGTATCTTCCTTCTTCATCAGCATATCTTGAGCCGTCCACAAACAGGGTGAGATCGGGATCTACCAATGGGTCTTCATGCACAGTTGGTAGATGTGTTGTTTCCATTTTCATCTGTTCAAAACAGTCATGAGGTGTATCTGGGTCGTATTCATTCACTATGGTTAAATCTTGGAACTTATTTTCCAGGAAATGACGTGGCCATGCTTTTAGGGTCAGTTGTTGGATATTTGACAACACCATTTTCCTGTAGCTGTGATTCGTCCATAGTGGCCCATGCTTTTGCCATAGGCCCAAGATCATTCCATGATATTGTTTTCAACTTGGTCACAGGGACATGTGGAATGGCAGTGTCCCAATGACGGTACAAATGCTTGAGTTCCGGAGGTAGATGAATCAAGACCATACTGTTGCCTTCAGAATCACAGTAGAAGTCTTGTGCAGTGAGTTTTACTTCGACCAGATGATAGAGTTCATCTTCATAGCAGGGTTCAGGAGTGATGTTTGATTTGTACCACATGGTACAGAAGGCATATCCTGCTCCGTCATGAAGGAGTGCTTGTCCATCATGAAAGGATAGGTTGGGATGCATTTCCTTCTTGATGGTGCCAGTGAGAAGAAAAACATAAGTTTCGTCCATGATGAATCCGTAGTATACACCCCCCTCAGGGAGTGGCAGAAGAGTGGACGGATTGAGAACTTGACATCCTTGGAGGGTAATGTTGTCAGGCAACAAAAGGTGACATTGAAGGCGAAGATGCCTAGCAGGAGTAACATGCTTAAGTTGGACCTGGTTGACTATGGCAGAAATGTCATGGGGGGCCAAGACAACCAGGGGGTGGCCAAGGACAAGATCTCCAGTTCTTTCAATGAGCTCTCTGGCAGCAAAGACGGCCCGAAGGCAAGAGGGACGTCCTCTGGCCACAATATCCAGTTGGCAGGAGAAAAATCCAATAGGCCTTTGGCGGCCTCCAGGACCATGGGCCTGAGTGAGTACTCCTGTTGCATAGCCTTGTCTTTCGGAAACAAACAGTTTGAAGGGTTTGGTATAGTCTGGTAGGCCAAGAGCAGGAGCAGAAGCAATAGCACTTTTGAGAGAACAGAAGTTGTCAAGGGCTTCTGTGGACAAGCAAAATGGGTCTGACTTGAGAGCATCATAAAGAGGTTGCATAAGGAGCGAGGCTTCTGGGATCCATGCTCGGCAATAGGAAATGAGGCCTAGGAAGGCGTGTAGTGACTTCGAGGTCCTTGGAGGTGGAATGTCCAGTACCGCTCTAACTCGGTCACGGGTAAGATGTCTGGTTCCCTGAGACAGACAATGGCCAAGGAAGATAACAGTAGGTTGGCAGAATTGCAGCTTGAGACGTGAAGCTTTACATCCTTGTTCTGCTAGGTAGCAAAGAATATTAAGTGAGCATTGTTCTGTTGTGGGTATATCATCTCCACAAAGCAGCAAATCATCCACATATTGAAGCAGGACGACCTCAGGGTGGTCAGATTGCCATGGATCAAGGATAGAGCACATGGCCTTCGCAAATTGACTTGGTGAATTTTGTGCCCCTTGGGGCATGACAGTCCATGTGTACTGTTGTTTTTCATGTGTGAAAGCAAACAGATATTGGCAAGTTGGATCCAGGGAAACACTGAAAAAGGCATTGGCCAGATCAATGACAGTGAAGTACTTGGCAGAGGGTGGAACGCCGGAAAGGAGAGTGTGTGGGTTGGGCACTATTGGAGTGTCCAAAACTGTGGCTTCATTTACCGCTCTGAGGTCTTGGACCAATCTGTACTTTTCTGGTTCGCCTTTTGGAGTCTTTTTCTTTACTGGAAATAATGGAGTATTGCATGGTGATTCACATTTGACAAGAGCACCCTTCTCCAGGAGTGCTTGAATTTGAATTGTAATGGCTGCAGCTTGAGCTGGTTTCAAAGGATACTGTGATTTTCGTGGCAATTTTACGCCTGGGATGAGCTTTACCACCACAGGCGGGACCTTTAGATGGCCTATGTCCTCTGGGCCTGTGGACCACAGCTTCTTGGGAACATCAGTCTTTAGTGAATCAGGGAAATTAGTCCTTAGGTCTTTTGCATCCCCATGAGGCTCTTCTAGATGTAGCATCAGGGGTAAGGAGCACAAAGCTGAGGTGTCTGAGACAGATAGAGGGGTGGATAGTTCCACTTGTCCATCTGGAGTAAAGGTGATGGATGCCTGCAGGCGTGAAAGAACATCAGCTCCTAACAGGTTAATGGGGCATGTGGAAGATACCACAAAGCGAGCAAGCAAGTTGTGGCAGTTACCAACCCGCAGTGGGGTGGACAGGGGACTTTGCCTTGGAAGGCCGTCCACCCCAACACAGGAGACATCAATATTGGAAAGAAATGAGGTATCGGGCAGGTCTTGTTCTCTCAGAACACTTCGGGCTGCACCTGTGTCAACTAGGAAAGTGGTGGGCTGGCCCTCAATGGGTAAAATTACAGTAGCTAGAGGCCCCCCCTGTTCCCCTGAAGACACTGCCATGGCAGGGGCATTAAGCATCAGCGGGTTTGCTCTCCTCAGTATGGGCTGTGTTACTGACTCAAACCCCTTTCTATGTCATTAGCCATAGCTTTTTGCAGTCTGAACATGTCTATCATTATAAATAATGGTTAATAGTAAGTTAAGTAAAGTTCCTAAATGTCTTTGGATAAAACATTAACTATTGCGGTACTATCATTTATATTAATTAGACTATAACAATTATACCACCCTGTAACTAAAATAAACAACCAGTAGTGGCTGGGTTAATAAAACATGTCACTAATCCTTCTAATGCTAAACCATCATTTAAAGTAAAGGATGTTACTGTAAACATAAGATCTGTAACTAGCAAGATTCGATTAAGTAAAGATACAATGTTTAAAATAACTTGCGCCATCTTTAGGGTGGTGACTGACGCACTTTCAACAATACACTATATTATAACTATTAAAATAAGTCAGAGAAGCAACATTCCGTTCTGCAAAATGAAATACTAAACTATGAACAGACCTGGCAGGTTGAATAAGACAGTTGAGAACATTATGCATTTAACAGCCCATACAGCTGTTTCTAGAAACATGTACTTTAAAATAATAAAATGATGCAAAATAAACTCACGGAATTCAACCAATTTCCCTTATCATCCTCTAGCCATTAATCACTTTCCTCTTCACATACTAGCTTAACTCCGCATATTCCCTCTATCCACATTGCATAGTTCTGCAACAAATCACGCTTGCCTATACACTTAACACGTCCAAATATTCCACTATTCTTGTATCAGATGCACTTACCTCCGTAAATCAACACTGAGCTACATTCTTGTGTCTCCCCCACAATCCTCACTACTTTATCACAAAACTCAATCTATACATACACACATATATATATATATATATATATACATATATATATATACATATTTATACACACACACATACATATACATATACAAACGGCAAACGGCAACAATAATAATATTATTACACAACTATAACACCATAACCTCTGAATTAGAATATTTTCCAGCAAAAATCCCATTCCTAACTCTTATCAGTAGCTCCGAAATGCAGAAGGCATGTACCTCCCCCATTCGGAGGCAAGTGGGGAGGAAAGGGGGGGGGATGTGAGACAGTGCAAAAAAGGGAGAGAAGCTGCAGGCATGAAGATTAACCATGTGAGTGCTGGAAAGTAACAAGACAGAAGGACAGAGACTTATACGTTTGGAAACCAGAAATCTTTGACGGGAGAAACGGACTGGAGGTGCAGGGAGCTGCAGAGAGAGGATGAGGGTGACGAGATCTGTAGGACTGATGGGGGGGGGGAATAGGGATCCATCAGCATCCAGTAACACAATTATTATAATACACAAACAAACTTAAACCTTTGTGATCAATATCTTCCTCAACCTATCCCTTTTGCTGAATAGCTCTTGCTACTCGGTATCAGGCTTCTGCTGTACAAACCAAATCTTGGTCCGACAGCTTCTCTTTCTTCTCTGTCAGTAACTTACGCCAGCTCTCTGGCTACAATCTGCCGCACAGAGGTACGGTAATTCCACATACTTTAGCAATCTTCCTCACTTTCTTAACCATCTCTTCTCCTTCTCTGTCTTCCACTAGATCACATGCTAACCAACCCTTACTGGGTTTATCTAACTTCTGTCCCATCCTCCCTATATAAGGCGTCCCAGATATAGAGAGAGAAAGGAACAGAACGTCTACCGTGCTCGACTGCTACTTTAAGAGCAAGCTCTTTAAGTACGTCTTCCCAAAACGTAGACTAGTCACTGATTCCGCCTACCCGTGGTAGCCGCGGATTGGAGCGTGGCGAGAAGTGTGTGACCAATCACTTCTCTCAACAAAGAGAAATAGGAGGGGAAAGTGTAAATAGTACAGTGAGTAAGATAGAAGTAAACACAGGAATCTGTGTGACAGACAATTAAGACAATAACATTTCAGTGTAAATACAGTGCATGCATCACAGTTCAAATAAGTTCAACAGTTTTATCCCTTGCCTTTACTCGTGTGGCCAAAAGCCACCTCCCTCAACCTCGTAGTGTCCCTGTTGCGGACCCACCCGCAAGTCTCACTACCAGCAGCCACAGGAAACAGCAACAGCTTCCAACCCGAATCCTGTATAGCCTAAAGAATTGGAATCTTACCTGCCTCAGCGCTCGAGACTGGAATTTTACCAAGAAGCTAAGCGGTCAAAATGACACTCTGGGGAACCCCCAGGAAGCAATGAGTCTACATCATCCTCCACAGATTCCCCCTACTCTTTTTCCTTACAGCCACAGCCACGTGGCTCCTAAAAGAGTTAAACAGGCAATAGAGGACCCCCAGGAAAACTTCCACAGGTCCACCCCCCTTTTTCCTTACTACCACAGGCACGTGGTACCTAAAAGGAGTTAAACAGGCACTTACACTCCCCGGGTACTAAGTTAAACACATACCAATACAAACACACCCAGGCAACAGATAGTCAACATGCAGGTAAACTAGGTATCATTAACAATACAAAGACTCTGGGCAAGTTATTACCTGACTTTGATGTCCTCTCGGCAGCAGTCACAGACACTGGGACAGGTCAATCACAGGGGTAGGAACATACCGGCTAGGTGCTGCAGCAATCTCTACTGTGTACTCAGAGGTGATCAGGCTCTTTTCCTTCCCCCAGGATTCACCCCCCCAGCATCTTCTTGGACAGCTGCCCAGGCAGGACATAGCCCAGAGCCCCACGTTATGGCGCCAGCTGTTGTAGATAATTTACTGCAAACCAATTAGTTTGAATGACTATCTGTTCCTGTCCAAATTAAAGATAATAAAGTTGCGTGCACGCAGAAGTAAATTCACACTGAGACACAAAGTTCAGGTTAATGAAAGAACTCCGGAGAAGTTTAATGGCTTCTGACAGAAAATGGGTGCGCAGACCCTTTTAAAGGCATTATTACATCATTGAAGAAAATCAAGATAACAGCAAATAGACACTATTGATTGGTCCAGGTGTTAAGTGGTTAGTTAGATACCCTCCTATCAAGAGGTGATGTCATCCTTGACACGGGAGTGGACACAAGATGTAGGCGCCATCTTGTTAGCACGAGGTGTTCACTCGATGGGAGGGGTGCTTTGGCAGCCATCCATTTAGAGTGTAGCTGGCATGGTTAGTTTCTCAAGGTTAAGTTTCAAGGCTTTTAGTAAATACACATTTTATCAAAGCTATTTCTTGCTGACATGCAAATTCTATGTTCTATAGACAGGGCTTTCTTGTAAAACTATGGGGGCCTCTTAGAGGTATAGCAAGAGGATTTAAAGGGGCCTTACAGATTTATAGAGGCCTAATAATTCTACAACAGCTTCACTGCGCAGATATCACGCAGCGGCTAACCCACCACATCTCCTGCGTCAGAACTTTTGCCCGTAGAGACAGACACTGTCCCTATTCCTATATGGAAGTAGTTGTCTGTTTGAGGTGGTGGGACTGAAGAGGTATGTGGGGTGTCACAGTCCAAATCATCGATATCCTGATGTAGGAATGTAGGTGTAGTGCGGTCAATAGTCTGATCTACAGTCTTCTGTAAATATTTCTGCACACAGGGCATCACACAGCTAATCGGGAAGATAAAGAGAATTACCACAGTAAGAACTGCTTTACCTACTTGAAGGAGAGTTTTCTGCCATCCACTCATCCATCCAAACCATCTGTCCCATGAATTGGGGACTCCCGAGTGCCTCTTTAATTCGTCAGATGGCCATGGTTACCTTACCGTTGGGGCCTGTATTGTCTGGGATGAACTCATTTGGTACCCCCCTTGGTACTCAAATGGCATCGATATATATGTGTGGGTCGAAACTACCTTGAATGGGAGTTTCT